CGGTATATTCGAACTGTTCCAATGCGACGAGGTCGTCAAGAAAGTCGTGCAGTAGAAGGGCTCGATCCATCATCTTATAATGGGACAACCATCGTGTCATGTTATCCGTTAGAACGTCAACTGGTTTCTTCGTACTGTCCCTCTTGCGTTGTAGATCCCGAAGCATGTACGTTAACCTATCCGATTGATGAATCCAGTGGACAAGGTTGTGGAGCTTGCCAATAGGCCCCCTCTTCCGCCAGAGATCATGTCGAGCAAGGTCCAGGTCGAGTCGCTCTTCTGATTTGAAGACTTCATTATCTTTGCCAAGAGCAGCGCTTTGGCCACGAGATTGATGATATGCCCAAAGCAGCGGACCCGTCTCTGCTTCCCTTCAAAATTAAAAACGTGTCCCAGTGCTGCTACCGCCGTATCGTTATTCTTCGCATTGTCAAGCGTGAAATACCCGATCTTGTCTTGAATCTCGAATGATTCGATCACTTCCGCCACCTGCGACGCTATATTCTCGCCAGTATGAGACTCTCGGAGTTCAGGAGCCCAAGGATGATCTTCTGTGGCCGCTTTTCCTTAGAGATAGAACGCAGCAATCCCATTAAGCGCATAGCGATTGGGCGATCTCCAGCCGTCAAACGCAAGGTGTATCTGCCGGGCGCTCCTCAGTTCCTTTATCACAATATGCTTGTACTGGTGGTATTCTTGGAAAAGCTTCGTTCGAATAGTCGAGTGTGTCATGTGGGCTTGAGTCAGGGCGATCGAGGGATTGAGGTATTCGAGAAGACGCCGGAATCGAGGGCTTCAACTGCGCGGAAGGCAACATTCGACTCGGTGATCCAAGCAAGCAAGAGAGATTGGAAGACATCTTTATCGAATTGGTTTTTTAGCTTGTTAATGAATGCTTGCTCCTTCTGGTCATTGGCATCGAGGTTGAAGAATTGGGCAATAGAACGCTTGTTGGTTGTAGAACCCTTCGGTAACCGTCTACCTGATGGGTCAATAACATTGTGAGCATCATGTAGATGGCGCTCAATGTTTAGGGTCCCCTTTGCCGCGAAGCTCACGGGTCCCTTCGGCGATTTCTTCGGTAAACACCGCTCACAGACCCAGAGGCGATTATCTACGTTAGCTTGATGTTCAATGTCGAACCCAAAGCTCCAGATCCACGATTTGAGCTTGCCGGCGCGTTGAGACTTGGTATAGCCGCGGAAGTGATGCCAGGGAAGGCATCCCACTCGAGATGGGGAACGGGGCCTGAGTCGCCTGAATCGCCTGATGGCGGCAAGGGAGTAGAAGAAGGCTCAGGAGATTCGCTCATTGCATATAGGAATGTTTAGATCAGCCAAGGCGTTGTGGAAGAATCGAGAAGTGTAAGTGGAACTGAGGCGAGAGATTGAACTTTGTTGTGAAGCGCGTCGATGCGCGCAGCGCGTCGACTCTTCCAACGGAACAGGGCCCTGTTCCCCGAAGAGGAGAGCAGGCTTACCTACAACGGGCCTGAGTAACCTGTAAGGTTAGTGGTAGCTATATACCCAATCCGTACCTACATTTCGCCTTGGCCACCTACCCTACAGGATCCCTGACCGTCAACGGCAATCTCATCAATCCATCAATCAACGGGAGCATGAATTGAATTGACAAGCTTATTCAGCAGACACTCGATTGAGTTGATTGAGTTGACGGTTGCTCAACTATATTGAGCAACCGTTGCTGGGATTGAGTGGTTTGCCACCCTGCCACAAAGAAAAACAGTTCGAGATTAGTGGTAACATCGTACACTGGAGTTCAACAAAGTGCAAACGTGTTACCCGTAGCGTCCTAGCATCAGAGATCTACGGTATGGCCAACGGATTCGACATAGGCATCTCCCTTGCGATGACTATGAAGATAATTACGGAACGACTCAACCTTCCTCCTATCCCTCTCATCGTCTGTACGGATTCGTACTCTCTCTACGAATGCCTAGTCAAGCTCGGTACGACGAAGGAAAAACGATTGATGATTGATATCATGGCCCTTCGCCAGTCATACGAGAAGAGAGATAACAGATATTCGTTGGATCAACGGCGCAGACAACCCAGCAGATGCAATGACGAAAGCATCACCAAACCGAGCCCTGGAACGCTTCATCGATACCAATAGTCTGACAATTCGAGTCGAAGGATACGTACAACGTTCCTAACCGCTCCTTATACCTATGATCAAATGATTGCTCTATCAGGAAGACCCTTCACTTCTTCCCAGATATCTACAGCTAAGAACAAGACGTCGGACCCACTTTTGGCAATAATGACACACGCCCTCACGGCACATTCCTTCACGGCCTTAACGCTACTATCCTTTAGACCCGTTCAAGGTGTTGCTGTGCTTCTCACAGCAAAGAAGAGTTGCCTGTGTAGGAATGTATCTATCTAGTGGTGTGACCAACCATGGTTGGCACGTGACCCGTACGGTCACGTGTGCGGCTGAGGGCAGCGTGCCCCCTTTCTCCACGCTGGCCTCTGCCTCCTTAGATAGAGAATCAAGACGAATACAACATCAGGTTAACCCTAGTACCGTCTCATTGCAGCAGCTGCCGCAGGTGCCTACCCACAATTAACTTAATAAATACTAAAGAATAAGTATAAGTATTATAGAATATAAAGTTTCTAAATACCCTATAGGCACTAGAAAAGTAGCTTAGCTTAGTTAACTAGCTATAGTACCTAGTAGCTTACTTTTCTTAAAAGGTAGAGGCGCTCTAAGTTTAAAAAACTATAATACTTAAGGAAGTATAGGATAGTTAAGCGCTACTTAAAGGAATAGTATATTACGACTATAGCTACTAGGCCGCTAATAGTTAACTACGTTAAGTATATAATACGGTTTAATAGATAAATAGTTAGTATAACTATCTAATAGATATAAGATTAAGGGGATTATAGAGATCTAAGTAATCTAAGATTAATAAGATTACTGTGGGTAGGCACCTGCGGCAGCTGCTGCAATGAGACGGTACTAGGGTTAACCTGTGATGTTGTATTCGTCTTGTTCTCTATCTAAGGAGGCAGAGGCCAGCGTGGAGAAAGGGGGCACGCTGCCGGTTGTCTGCGCCGTTGATCCAACGAATATCTGTTATCTCTCTTCTCGTATGACTGGCGAAGGGCCATGATATCAATCATCAATCGTTTTTCCTTCGTCGTACCGAGCTTGACTAGGCATTCGTAGAGAGTACGAATCCGTACAGACGATGAGAGGGATAGGAGGAAGGTTGAGTCGTTCCGTATTATCTTCATAGTCATCGCAAAGGAGATGCCTATGTCGAATCCGTTGGCCATACCGTAGATCTCTGATGCTAGGACGCTACGGGTAACACGTTTGCACTTTGTTGAACTCCAGTGTACGATGTTACCACTAATCTCGAACTGTTTTCTTTGTGGTTTGTCTCGTTAACGAGGGCAATGACGAATCCTAGTTGGGAGGATAAGTCCTTGTTGTTTGCGAAAGAACCATCGGTGAAAACCATCAGCTTTGCAGTAGCTAGATCAATTGGTTTGTACGTGAGGCCACGTAGTTGGTGATCCATTTGCCATTGCAGTCGCTTGTTCAAAATTGCGTAATCTTTATCCTCAGGGTCTGTACTTGGGCGGCGACTGAAACATCGAAAGAAGCTTCCGGTTGAGCAATTGAAGCAATGTATGAGGCTCGCGCTCGTTCCTCAACGTAGCGCTGGTGACGATCAATTGCTTTAGGGTCAATGGTGGTCATTTTGCTGCTTGTCCCTTCTGTTGAAGTAAAGGGATCCTTTCTTAAGGGGTTATTATTCAGCAACGTCAGTCTTGCACCATTAAAGTCAACCGTTGTTCCGTATGTGATGTCAGTCTTGGGCTTGGAACGAAATTCTGCCTTTGTAGCTCTTCTTCTTCACGGGTAGAAAAGTTGTTCGTTCCAAGGATGAGGGTGTCATCAGTTTGCATTCCAACAATACCGAGCGTGTCAGGGCCAGTATTCGAAATCAGTAGGCAGGAGTCATAGGTGGAGGTAGACATATCCAGCTTTTCGAGGTGATGCTGCTGATATGTGCGGAACCAATGGACTCCGGCTTCTGCGATACCGTACAGGGCTTAATAACACGAATAATTGTTCCGTTAGGGTATTTGCCTTGTAGTTCCGTGGGCAAATACGTAAGAATGGTCCGGGAAAGCTTGGTCTGGGATTGCGGGTATGCCTGAGTGATATCACGGAGGAGAGGTTATGCCGTAGTTTTGAAGAAGTCCGGGGCAATAGCGAGGATGAGTCTCTGGCTAACGCGTTGAATTGTCGGAGATTGCGTCAGGAGGGTGGTCTTCTCAAAGTCGTTATGTCCTTGAATAACAAGTCGAGACTTTTCGTAGGGCTTAGTGTTGATTCCTTTGACTTCACGAACCATTCGAGAGCGAAAGATTCTATAGTTTCCATGACTCATTTGATCGTATCGTTCAAATTGGAATACACCGCGGCCAACGAGGTCAGTAATCTCTTTGTTATCGGATTCTTCGAAGGGTCACCAGGAGAGGTGATTATGCCATCAGACCGTAGCTTGAGGAAAGAGCTTGTGCATCTTCCTCCTTTGGGTCAAGCTCTGGTCTACGGCTTGGGCCATCATGATCAAATCCTTTGGCTTGTTCTTTGATCCTGGTGGGCGTCCTCTCTTGCGGGGGGCGGGGGGTTCGGGTCGGGCAGGCAGGTCCGTTAGGGTCTTAACGGGTCTTGAGCCGGTTGTTCATTAAGATCTGAACGAATGCCTGAGGGTCTGTGTCGTGTGTAGGGTCGGAAAGAGTGGTATCATCACGCAGATACGGTTGTACAAGGGTCGATCGAAAGACTTGGGGCCGTTGACTGTGTCAATGGTGATGTTATGGGTATCAATCGATGCAATCTTGAAGGGTCCTTGCCAACCGTCTTTCTCTCCAAACGCGAACTTCACTTTGCAGCGGGAGGATAGCACTTCTGTCGTGCTCGGGCCGTTGCGTGCATGGAGGGCATCCTTAACTCGTCTTTCTGCCGAGAGTTGGCGGAGCATTTTCATCGCTTTCTGCATAGCTTCCGATCTTTTGAGGGTAGAAGCGGAAGGGGCGAGTCTGTAGATACGCGAGGGTATGCGCCGAAAACAAGCAACGTAGGCACAAGACCGTCAGGTCCTGCCGTATCATTGATTGCTTTAACAGCCATTTGAAGGACTGTTTCGGCGGAAGTGGTGTGGCCAATCTCAGCATGGAGGATGTTAAAGGCGCGTCGGAGGGTGCGTGATAGCGTTCAATCTTTCCAATGGACCAATGCGTCTCAACAGGTACTTGAGAGCATTTGATTCCCATAATCTTTGCTTCGTTCCGGAATTCGAGAGAAGCAAAGTTAGTTCCTGCATCATGACGGAGGGTATCAGGAGGTCCAAGATACGTGTCGATCCAGAGGGTCCGGAGGGTCTCCCATGTATCTTTAGCTGACATTGACGGTAAAAATCTGGCTCCTTGGAAAGCAGTAGCTGAGTCCACAACGTGTAGAACAGGGCGTTGTGGTGTTCCTAGGTGCATCACATCAACGATGATTTCGTAGTTGAACTCTTGATCATCGTTAAGGGTGAACTTGAAGCGGCGTGGGGCTTGTGAGTGCATTTGACAGTGGTGACAGAACTTAGAGATAGTCTCTAATGTGTCTATCGAGACGTCACTGTGCCCGGCTTGCTTCAAGAGGTGATGGAGCCTAGGGACTGCTGGGTGTCCAAAGCGTCGGTGAAGTGTACGAATCTCTGTTTCCGTAAGAAACGAGATGGACTCTTCATCTTTCGTAAGGAAGAACCAGGGATGTCCCCATTTGCGTACGACTGGAATGCTTGTAGGGCGATTAGTACAATGATTAGTACAATTGATGGTATCTGTGATGTTGTTGAAATAGATACCAAGCCGGTCCATATCAGCAAGGCAGAGCAAAAAGGGAGTTGGGGTTTGAAGGACGTGGAACGTGATCCTTCCGAGGGGTGTGTTAAGGGCGACTGTGCCGAGGAGTGGATGGCGTCGCTGTTGCCGAATTTGATGGAGGCCTGGCCGGATGTGGAGCTGTCGAGAGCTACAGAAGGGTCTTCTCGTTGTAGGGCGATGTACTGAGAGTATCCTGCTGTGGAAAATGTTGCTGCACCTGTGTCGATCATGATACCTTGAATCTATCCCTTGAATAGCGATCTTCAATAATAAATTGCGAGGCTGGAACAACGGTTTGATCCGTCTGATAGACGTCTTCTCCTGTGATCAAATGATTGAATGCCTGTTGACAGAGCATTTGGCTTGCTTGCCATTGTTCCGGGTGATCGTTGGTGCTATTGTCATGTTCTTCCCATGTATCTTCAGTGTCATCAAAGCTGCTCATCTCATGACCTTCGTAGTCTAGAATATAGCCTCCGATGTCCGTGAGTTGTACACCTATGAAGTGACATTGAGTGATATGTTGGTCCTTGGCCTTTTGCCGTTCATCCGTAGAGTGTTTAGTTGACCAACAGCCTTCTTGTCCACAAACAAAACACTTCTTCGTCCAGTTTCGGTTACTGTAGCTATGATTGTAGTTACTACGGCTTTGAGGCCGGTAGTTTCCACGGTTGTAGCTTTGTCTGTATCCGCGGCTGGGTCGTTGACCTGAATATCCGTATCTACCTCGAGCGGTTGTTATTGTATCGACGGTCGAGGTAGTACTGATGGTGTGGATCGTTATGATCAAATGATCCAGCAAAGTCAGGGAAATTGAGAAGTTGTTATGAGGGCAAGATGGGTTTCAACGGATGCACGAAGATCTGCAAGAAGGTGCTCGACGTTATCGGCGGGGTTTGAAAGAGCGTATTGGAGTTCGGGTACTCCACGGCATGCTTTCATAAGCGTTGTACGCAGTTGGAGGTCTCCTGCGTACTCCCTGCCAAGGGCTCGTTGGCAGAGCTGAAGCTTATCAAAGAGGATTTGAAGCACTTCGTGGGGGGTCTTCGAAGCATCTTGGGCACGGATGGAGTTGAAGGTTATTGTTGTCCAGTCAGTATGGTAGTGGACATGGTTGACTTCCGTGTCAAAGTGTTGTTTGAAGATATCATACGCTTGTCGGAACGTCGTAGCCCATGTGATCTTATCAAGATAGAATCTTTGGGCTCTTCCATCAAGGATCCGGGGAAAGAGTGCGTGAAATTGTGATGGTTTCACTGGGATATGAGAGCAGTTGCTTAAGAAGAGGCGGAGCTTATCATCAAGGAGATCGTACGGCTCTCCTGTGTAGTTCCGATCTTTGTTCCAGGTCTTCATAAACTTCTGCTGGATGTCGCTATCGACGATAGCGTTCGGGATGTTATCCGGGGGGAGTTTCATGTATTCTCCAAAGGTTGCAGGGCCGGATAAGTGTTCGGGGATGGAGTTGGTGACGGGTTGGACGAGATCGGGGTTCTGGAAGCGGTAGGAAGTCGGATGAATAGTAAGAGAGGTCGGAGCAGGTTTATCTTGGATAGTCGGAGCAGGAGTAGGTGCGTTAGGAGGGCTCGTTAGGGTCTTAATAGGTTGTGGTTCGTTAAGACCTTGATGAGGTGCTGCTAAGGGCGTAACTGATGGTGAAGGAGGTTGAGACGGATGGGGATTAGTGGAAGCATTTGATCCTAGTAATGCTGTCTGCCTCCTGAAGGCAGCAGTCCTCTCATCAAACACCATCTCCGTAAACTCCTGCTCTGGCCAGGTTTGTGGGTTCTCGATAGTTTGTAATATGAGAAATTGTGTTGCAATTTCCTTTGTGAACCTGTGTAGATACCTCTTTTCCTTAGTAGTTTCCTGAGGGCTCTCTTGTATTCATTCGGGGCGCGGTCCCATGTGTCTTCGGTCCATTCTTCAAAATGCTGTTGGAAGTAACCAAGGAGGTCGTATCCTTGATCACTGCCAGATTGAACGATGAATATGAACTTTGCCACATATGTCGTTACTGCGATCTTGTCCTTTTCGTCGTGTGTGATATCGTTGTCCCAAAGGTCGATATTAATTTGTCGGAATGCGGATGCTTGGATGTCTAGTGCCTGCATCTGGTCGCATATTTCTTCGAGCTGGGCTTCTGGGGACATAGCTCGGGCGGTCGGGGCTATCGTGATCAAATGAATGAGACGATGTGGGGTTCGTATTGGTCTCTTCGTATACGAGTTGTCGCTAATAGGAGGTCGAGCGTCGCGTACTAAGTAGGTCGTTCGCGGCCAGACTGAACTGACGGGGATCTTGCTACTTAACGTCAAGGGTCGAACGTTCTTACTAGTTGTTTGCGATGTGGTCGCCTGTCGATTCCGGTGCTCACGGCTAGGCAAACTAGCGGGCGATCGTAATCAACAGTTGGAAGGACTCTCGCGCGGCTGGGCAAACCAGCGGGAGATTCCTTGTTCTTAGCACAAATAACCTTCTTCTGAGCGCTACTCAGGGCCACAGTAAAGTGACGCGGACTATAGCACCTTCGAAGGTTGAGGAATTTGTCTCTTCTACTTAGCTGTCTGTGACGGGCGTGGGCCGGTCACTGATCAGTGTGGGTAGGCACCTGCGGCAGCTGCTGCAATGAGACGGTACTAGGGTTAACCTGTGATGTTGTATTCGTCTTGTTCTCTATCTAAGGAGGCAGAGGCCAGCGTGGAGAAAGGGGGCACGCTGCCCTCAGCCGCACACGTGACCGTACGGGTCACGTGCCAACCATGGTTGGTCACACCACTAGATAGATACATTCCTACAATTACTATACTTTATATAATCTAATATTAGGGATTATAGCTAGGCCTATAATCTAAGGATAGTCTTTATAAGTATATATAGTTACTTACTTTTACTCCTTTAAATAAATAGCTCTCTAGCTTTTAATATAATTATTACGATCTTTATTATAATCTTATCTTTAATTTTAATTACTTAGTTACTTAGTTATAGTCTATAGTTTATAACCTCTAACTTATTACTAATATAATATACTTATTATTACCTAGACTACGCCTTATTATATCTATTAATATAAACCCCTTAATAGGTTTATCCCTTAGGAATAATACTAGTTATTATATATTAAAAGCTCTTACTTAGTATAATACTATATTACTTTAAGTAATATCGTAACTATTAATATAGCTATATAATAAGCTAAATTAACTAACTTTAGAGCTATTATATCGCCTTAAAATATAATACGCGAGATTATTACCCTTTAATATAAGGTATAATTACTTAAGAATAAAGGAAGTAATAAATAAGTTAACGACCTTAGAAAAGTAATTAAACTAAAATAGCTAAGATTATTTAATAGTAATTATAGTATGCTTTAAGACTTTCTTACTTAACTTAAGGCTTACTATTAGTTTTACCCTACTAAACTCTTAGACCTAGTTAAAAAGGTACTCTATATAGGAAATTATTTATTTAGAATAGTACTTACTTAGTTTAGACCTATTATAAGGGACTTTCTAGATAACTAACTAGCGTAATAAGATAAGAAGATAGATAAAGTCTTTATTAGTTTCTAAGGATTTAAAGAAGCTATTATAAAGGTATTTAAAATAACTAATAAGGAATAAGAAGCTAAATAAAAACTTTAAGAACTTTAATATGTTACGACCCGACCAACGGTTGGTCACAAGCAGCCCTCAACAAGGCCGACACGTGACGGAGGGGTACAGGATCCCGCGAAGTCACGTGATGGATCATTTGGATCACTTGGTGATCCCAACGATCCGGCTCATTGGATCATCTCGATGATCCAACGACGATGTACAGGATCATTGGATCGTCTCAATGATCCAACGATCCGTGAACAGGATCATCACGTTCGCTGAATGATCCACGAAGGACCACTGGGTATATAAGGACACCCAATTCCACTCCTTTAGACTAGATAGCTCTTTAGCTTTCAACACAATCATTACGATCCCTATCACGATCTCATCTCTGATTCCGATCACTTGATTACCTGGTTACAGTCTACGGTCTACGACCTCCGACTCATCACCAACGTGACATACTTATCATTGCTCAGACCACGCCCTGTTGTATCTGCCAACATAAACCCCACGACAGGTTTATCCTTGGGAATATCACCGGTCGTCACACGTTGAAAGCTCTTGTTCAGAACGATACCGCGTCTCTCTGAGCAATATCGCATAACTGTCAACATGCCTGCACAGCAAACTGGATCAACCAACTCGGGACACACCGTGTCGCCGCAGGACATGATGCGCGAAATCATCAGCCTTCGACAGGAGGTCCAAGTGCTCAGGAACGGAGGAGGCAACGGACAAGTCAGGGACATCGGAGAAGCAGTCAAACCAAAACAGCCAGGACCATTCGACGGTACTCATGGCACGCTTCGAGACTTTCTCACCCAACTCAAAGCCTACCACCGATTCTATCCGACCAAGCTCTCGGACCCAGTCGAAAAGGTACTCCACGCAGGAAATTGTTTATCTGGAACGGCACTCGCCTGGTTTGGACCCATCATGAGGACTTTCTCGACAACCAACCAGCGCGACGAGACAACGAGACAGACGAAGTCTTTGCCAGTTTCCAAGGATTCGAAGAAGCCATTACGAAGGTATTCGGAACAACCGACGAGGAACGAGAGGCCGAACAGAAACTTCGAGAACTCC